ATATATATATATATATATATATATATATATATATATATATATATATATATATATATCTGAAGACCCGATATTTTTATTTGTACATTGTGTGCATTCGTTTAGACGGCAAACTTTATAACAGTCAAAAAGATATATAGACCGTCCACTGGCTAAGTGGACTTTCTGAAATCTTAATGTCAAAGCAACTAGTTAACTCTAACTTTTTAGATTTAAAATAAACGTTGTTAATGGAACGTTTAACACCACGAAATAACAAAAATTCTTTTAGCCATGAAATAATAGTTAATTTATCACTGTATTAAATAATTTATCACTGTACATGTATATTAAACAATCTATTATTATACATGTATATTAAACAATTTATTACTATATACATACATTTTAGGATGTTTGTTAGACTCTATAAAGTCGTAAATATTCGTACAACTTTTAAAAAGAAATAACTTTTTCAAAATTGGATCAAATGACTTGAATTATTTTAAAATATTAAAGGGACGAGTTTACTACACAAATGATTAAATGACTTTAACTATTTTATCAGAGGCTGTATCGAAAATTTAAACAATGTATTTTGTAGGTCTCGGCGATTTATATGCAACCTGCATACTTCGCTGAAATCGATTGCCGCATGATTTTTAATTGTTTGCATGTCGTAATAACGTCAACCGATTTCGATGAAAATTTGCAGCATACATATTAATTACATATACCTACATAGTTCTGACCAAACCTGTTAAAAAGACATCATCTTTTCATCATTCCAACTAACTGCAATTTTCGCAAAAATTTGTTTAAACGTTGTCTAATGAATTATTTCTCTGACACCTAAAAAAAACTCAAGTTATTCAATCCAATTTCAAGAAAGTTATTCCGTTTTAAAAGGTGTCCAAATAATTCAGTAAGTTACTATACTATTTCAAACGAAATTTAAAGAAGCTATATGTACCGATCCACAACTTGTCTTTTGTGACGACAACCGATGTGACAAACGAATAGCTCATACAGTAAAACATTTTCAAACTATCTTTTCATCGATAGATCCGCCTTTGTTTTTAATAACGGCCTCGCAGATGCGGGGCATTGCAGCGACGAACTTTTCCAACTGTTTCGGCTGTACAGCGTTCCACGTATCCTCCAATATTTGCCAAAGATGTTTCTTCGTGAACGGGTAGTGCTGACGAACAGTCCGTTCCATTTCATCCCACAGAAATCTCATCGGACTTATATCCGAGGATTGGTCCGGCCATTCCATATTTTCGAACACTATTTCTGTCTCTTCCTGGGCAGGCATAAACGGGGACGTATACACCGCGAAATAGAGTTTCGAGCTGCTCTCTTGCTGCATGATGAAAGTGTCTCCCGCTAACCGAAGTCCCGACGGTATACCATGTTTTTCCATAATGATCTCATATTGGTCCTGACTAATTTCTTCTCTAGTCAGAACCAGATCACCGACGCCTGCTTTAGAGAAGCATCCCCACACGAAGACGCTTCGTTTCATTGCAAATGTGTCGAATTTGGTCCGGCCGGTCCAAAGGACTTTGCTCCAGTCTTGGATCGTCCAACTTTCGTGCGTTTTGGCCCACTCCAAACGTTCCTTGCGAATCCTCATCGATAGCAACGGTTTGCTCGTGACAACGTACTCGTACACTGGAGTTCTTAGTCTTCTTTTGATGGAATTTAGCGGCACTTCGTTTGACCTTCCTTGATTGACACGTCTTTCGTCCTTCCTGTTTCGTCGTCTTCGTCTGGTCAACCGTGGCACCTTATCTAAATCCTCAGTACTAAAATGTTTTACCGCGTGTCGAACACCGGTGCAAGAATTACTTAAAGTTTTAACGGCACCTCGCGAACGATATCGCTTTTCGTGAGTCGTGGTAACTCTGTTTCTCGGTTTAAGTGTCACTTTCAATGTCTTTTTTGTCATCTTCGAGTGTGTTGCGCACAAAGCTCCGTTGAAAGATCTTTACTAGGTGATTGATTATGCCCGAATGACTGCAATACCAAGAAAACGAGCATTTTATGCACTTTTGTTGGAGGTGAATGCATTTAATTGGAATTCTGCATTGACTCATGTTTCCTTTCGTGTACCCAGAAGTATCGGGTTCTTTTGGGTTAATGAAAACATGTGGTTCAGCTGTACTATATATTCCTACCCTTTCCACTCGGTAAAAATGGTAGAATATTCGTGATCAATATATGTGAAGCACGAAGGATATTGTTAAAATTGCACAGATATATCGTAGTTAGATATAAATAGCAGGTACTAACGTATTGCCTGATAAATGTAAACAATAAAACTTAGATAGCTAGATGATGTTTTAGTGCGATTGGGAGAGACAATTTCTTGTATAAAAATTAACTTATTAGATAGCATGTAATTCGTTCTGAGAAATAATGCTTTTTGGAAATGTTAAATAATACATTGAACTTTTCAAACTTTTCAATAGCTTGTAAAATTATCAGTAAATGTATGTTTACGAGATTAATAGAAAATAGTTGTGAACCAATTCTTAATTTGACTACCGTCTAATAACAGAAACGTACATTTGCTAAAGTTATTAACGCTCGAACGATAGAACTTTTGACAAAAATACAGCTAAGCATGCTTAGGATCGAGTTTTAAACTATTTTAATTAAACTTTTTATCCAATAATTGCAACTATAAAAAATTGGACAAACCGTGTCATATGTACAATCATCAGATCTTTTCCTAAGAGACTCATCCTTGACTTGCAATAAGAGATTTATCCTTGATGTGTTAGATGACACAGTTTTTAGTCTTTGAATTTCCACGAGGCTATAAATTCAGTTATCTTTTTTTCCCTAATTAGAATAAATTTGTCTTGCTTCCAATATGAAAATAAAAATTGATTACACTGTCGCGACAAGTTATAAAAATGTGAAAAATGCCGGTCAATGAAGCTGATAACGTCATTATGAATATTTATAAAGTCGTATGTTTAAAGGGAATGAGATTGTCAAATACGTTTCGTATACACGGAAACACCTTTCAAAAAGCTGAATTGCTTTATAAATGCAATTGAAATGCCTATAACTTTCAGAAATGTGAAAACAGAAATATTTTCTATTAATTATAATGTTCATTTATTATATTAATGTGTTCAGTTGTTGTATTTTTACATATTTATATCCTTCATAATATTCTAATAATAGAAGGGGAAATTTACATTTGATTGCTATTCTGATTTTGTGTCATTATATTTACATTACTGACGCAGAAGGAAATTCGATCAATTGTAAGTACAACATATGGTAAGAAAAAATAAACATGAGCACCAAAATTAACTAATCGCGAAACTAACACCCCGAAAAAACGTTATAATCGTGATTCACGTTAATATCTTCTTGTTTGTCATGTACTCGTAATATTGTAATTAATTTATAAAGAAAATGCTTTCTAAAGTCTAGAATATCATGTTGTAAATATTCAACTTAAAAGATCTTAACATTAATTCAGTATTTAAAACTTTATCTAAATTTTTAAATAATCATAACAATTATCAGCGATCATAATCTGATGATAAAAATATTGATACTATAAACTTTCACTTTAAATTGGCCTATACGAGATCTATACAAGATCATCTATTTTTGTGATTACAATCCATTTCGAAATTTCAAATCGTGAAGAGTTTTTAATACAATGTAAATACTTCTTAAATTGTAATGTTATCTTGCAAAAGTCAAACAACAGACTTTTCGTCTTCTAAGAGTGGATGCTTTCTTATCAAAACGTTTATGATCTTGTGCTTAATGCCAGACGTTTTCGCTTATCTTTACTTTATACGAAGTCCGATATTTGTTGCACGCGTTACGCGTGAGATGAACTTAACCTGGGTGAAAGGCTTTTAACACTAATATATGTATGTATATAGATATTTTCACGATGCATATATCACCGCACAGCTGTTATGAAATAGCGAAGAATGCGGAATTCTGACATTCGGCGACGTTTAAGATTCAAAACGCTATCGTTAGTATTGACATGCGTTACAAATTTATGCATTACTGTGTTATCGTATTACACATCGGAACCAACAAATTAGAGCAAGGGAAGGTCTATCGGAATGAAGTAATCGATCATTTGGTGTCCTATTTCAAGAACATGCTGCGGTATTGTAAAGCGTCCATATCGTCGCTACAACGATGCCAAAACAATGTCATTTCTTCCATTTTAAGTTCAGTAAATTCAATAATTTGACAACGAATCGAAACGATTTGTTAGTTCATTTGATAGTTCATGATTTTTTTACATATTTTTATTCCCGAGTGGCTACGAATCAACTGTTACGAAAATTAGTCAGCGAAAATAAAAGCGTCGTCTTGGTAATCTATCAAGATGAAGTAATCAACACATGTAAAGCGGACATACGTATCCTTTTTGCACTTTCTTTATTTATTCGCTGAAATAACTATTTTGTAATGAAATAGGAATTGACATATGTTTCGACAAATAAAATTGATCAACATGCATACATGAAATCTACTAGTTTTAGTAAACTACCGGTTTTATAAGCTCCTTGATAGTATGCTGTGTGAACGGGAAATAATTATCAATTAGAAAGTAGTAATTAACATGGTCACAGAACCATAACTTACCTTTAAATTATGAATTTGAAATAGTAACAGTTTCTTCCCTGGTGCAGTTCTTCAAATTTTGTCATGTATTATTTACCCGCAGGTATTAGCTAGTTTAATTATCAACCTTGTAATGAAAAATTTCCAAAACATTGTTGCGAATAAGGAAGAATCAGTTTCACTCTTTAATTTGTGCCACGCGAGCTTATCGCGTGTAGGAATTGAACATAGCTGCGAATCTAGCGGTCATGGATCTTTTATAGAATGATAATTGTTAGAACACATATGTAATAGACGAGTCACGGTCTACGATATATTGAATGTATATTTGAAGGTATGGATAGATCACTGTAAACTTTTTATATCGTGAACATTTCAACACTTTTTGTATACATTTGGAAGTGTGACTGCTACGAGAACATCAGTCACCCACGATCCTAACACGACTCGTGAAACAAACAGAGTTACGTTATAGCAAAAGAAAATCACGAGATGTCGCGTCGTATCACGAGCACCGATCATTGACAGTGTCGTGATTTTTGTATACTAGCGCGATCTTTAAGAAACTAGAGTAATCGCGAAACTTTACGGATTTAGCAGGACGGTATCTGTTGTACAGATTTCGTTACACAAATGGTATTATCTAGAGATGTATAGCTGCTTGATAAATACGAGATGGAGCCACCGGCGTTTTCTATTAGGAATGAAAAAGAAATTCAATTCAAATAGAATAACCTGCCACGAGCGACAATTTTATCAATAAACAATGAATTTTCAATAAACAAATATATAAGAAACTAGGAGCACGTGCCGTTCATGGCTGCCAAATATCAATTGGCATAAATACTCAAAGAATTGCTCTAATTCAATGTGCAATGGCTTAAACAATTGTTCTTTAATTGTCCATTATCGACCTGTAATTGCTTTTAATTGTTTCTTAATAGTTTTTCAGAAATTTCCGAAAAAACTTCTTCGGAGCAATTAAATATGTATTCTGTCTCCGATTCTGTTAGATCGAATTCAGGCGATGATTTTAGTGTCGAATTGCAAATCAACACCTCCAACTGTGGTATATCTAGTAACCGATCTATGATGCACCGTTCTCGTATTAAACTTCTTCGTTTTTTGTCAACTATCTGATTTACAGCTTTCAATAATTCGTCCACTGTCTGTGCCGAAGGAATCTGTAAACAATCAAAATTTCATCGATTAGATGCTGACGATCATTTGTAAATATTAACGTACGCAGAAATGCTTATATGATTACCTGAGAGATATCGAATGGTTCATTCATGGATGTATGCATGTATTTCATTAAGGCTACAATAATATCTCTCTAATTGACGCCCAGATTGACCACAAAAATGGACAATTTGGGAAGAGGAGATACGATTATTCGAGTCTTGCGGTTTATTTTTATAGTTATAAATTGTCCACAATTATAACAGATGACAGATGGTGAGGTTGTACCAAGGGTAGGAGAATAGTGGAATCACTTTGCTGTTGGAGCACGATCACGAACCTCGTCGTCAGAGTCTAACTGACAACGTGACAATAATATAATCCGTTTCATTTATAATCGCTTTCCAGGATCACGCAATTATAAATGGAAAGGATGTGTCTGGATGACTGCTTGGAAGTTGGCACTTCTTACCCTAGCAAATGCAAAATGCGAACAGCGAGGGAAATATGTTCGCAGTCTTCAATGAACTCGCAGAGATGTGCCAAACCTGTTTTGCGATCTGCAAAACAGTTGAAGAACACTAATGGACAAAAACAGAAAACAAGAAACTAGGAAGCCGAAGATTACTATGATTCGGACGAGGACAATTTTTTAGATAGGACAGGATCAATAGAAAGAAAATGTGAACAAAGAATGCGGCTGGCTGGCAAATTGGAAGAAAAAGTGGAAACATACAATTCCTTACTAAGCTTGACAATTGTGCATTATACATTTCTCATAATAGACGTATCATTGTATCCGTAATTCTTGGATTTCTTTCAGCTTGAAAAGTATGCGAAAATTCTAAAACAGATTTCGCATCTGACAGATTCGATTAAGGTTATGTCAAGGTTATGTACGCATTCTTTAAATGCGTGAATGTGATTATGTATCAACATCATCCAAGTTGAGGAGCAATTGCCGTCTCCATAGTTTCGGTCGTCTAGAATTTACGTATGAATCGAGGATAACGGGGAGCACGTATGATTAAAACCTCGAGCAAATATTCTTTTCAACAATTTTGTTTATTACTTTATTATTTTTATTATATTATTTATTTATAGTAGGTATTATATAGTAGTATTTATTAATTTATTATTTATTATTTATTATCAGTGAAAAAATAAGTAGTCTTTTCAACAGGTATCTCACACACATTTTTATCCTTTAACCACTTTCACAATTACACTATCGACGGTGCTTATAATAATTTTGGGCTTCGTTCAACAAATATACAGTAATAGTCAAAGCTTTAAGAGAATTTAAAAATACCTTGACATAACCTTGTGCAGGAAACTTCTGCTTCATCATGTTATCAATGAAAACAATCTAGTTTGAATAACTAATTTTCATACATAATAATTTTTTTTCATACATTTTCAACATGATAAACGCATAAAAAGTTTTTCATGCGATTTTATACTGTAACATGAGATTTGTTGATAATAGGATGTTTTTCTACTGTAAGCAATATCAAAAAGTTGACGATCATATATCTCACGTCATCACGTCAATATATCCACTTTGCAAAATATTCCGGGTATTAATATGATCGATTTTTTCCGTTTGATCACGTGCGCTTGAATTGTACAATAGCTTAATGTGTATGTAATTACACAATAAAGGTATACACAAAACAAATGCAAGCGTTTCTTAAAAAACATTCTTTTTTCTTTTTTTACAGATGAAATATGTACAGATTTATTGTGTATTACGTAATAAAGTGACATGACGAAATACATTCGTTTTAATGTTGGATTGATTATAAGATACAGCGGGTCATACAACAAAACATCTCCCTATGTACGCATACGTAATTAAATAATGAAGATCTTAATGGACTCAGTTAAAATATAGTTTTATAATTATATGTAGAAATAGAGACTGCTAACAATAGCTCTGTGTTTTTTCGTTAATGTAATTTTATTCTTATAATACTAAAAATATCGAAATCGTGGTGACATAGATTATCGTTATATGTATATATGTAGACCCGCTGACCCCGAAGTATGATGAAATGTTTAGGTTTCGAATTATCCTACAGAAGAAATGATTAATTCTGCAACATCCGGATCTGAACATAGAACCGTTAATTGCATTGTCACCTGAGTGCCAGATAATGCTAATCTTGCACGTGCAAGAATTTCTTTATCACCTCTGAAATAACCGCCCAATAACAGATTATGCGCAGTAGCGCCCGATTGAATTCGATTCGTTCGGTCTACCTGATCCAGGCCCAAAAATTCAGTGAGAATTTGAACGGCTCCCTCCAAGCTAAATACAGATGGCCCTAAAGCAAACGTTTCCTCCAATTTGGTGTATCCCTGTGCGGTGCCTGCTGCCCATGCAGTATTGAAATCTGTACTCGTCTCTGACAATCCTCGAATTTGATCAGCTAGTGTCAACTCTACGATGTCCAACTAGAAACAGAAGCGAATACGCTCAAATATTGACTATTTGTTTTTTCTTTTCTAGTAGAAAGAGTAAAATGGCACACCATATACTCGTCCTTGTATGGTGGAAACTCCCCTGTGGTAGGATGAAAGTCTTGAGCCGTAAATCGCAGAGTTGCGGGAAGGGTTGTGATGCTAGCTTGAAGATCTTCTGGATATTTTAATACTGTGTACGTTGCTGCCGGTTCATAATAATGTAGAGCTGGACACGGAATTTCGCAGACCACCGTATAACTAAAATCAATAGAATATTGTCACTTCGAAAATGTTTTGTATACTTTGTTATTCGAGTAAAGTATACAAAAATGTAATTACCCCTCACGAAATAAATCAAGAGCTACCGTTACATCCTCTAAACACTGATGGCGAAGCGTATTCATACAATCGAATTCTAAAACAACAAGATCTGAAAATGTATGCTTGATGCACTTTACGTGGTATTCTGTCTCAGATTCTGTTAGATCGAATTCAGGCGATGATTTGATTAGTATCGAATTGCATATCAACACTTCCAACTGTGGTATATCTAATAACCGATCTATGATGCATCGTTCTCGTATTAAACTTCTTCGTTTTTTGTCAACTATCTGATCTACAGCTTTCAATGATTCATCTACTGTCTGTGTCGAAGGAATCTGTAAACAATCAAAATTTCATCGATTAGATGCTGATCATTTGTAAATATTAACGTACGCTGAAATGCTTATATGATTACCTGAGAGATATTGAATGGTTCATTCATGGATGTATGCATGTATTTCATTAAGGCTATTTCTAAACCACGCACGGATAGATGGGGAGGTTGTACCAAGGGTAGAAGAATAGTGGGATCACTTTGCTGTTGGAGTATAGCGCAATAATAAGCCGCACGATCACGAACCTCGTCGTCAGAGTCTAACTGACAGCGTGACGATAAGACTAACACGTTTGGTAACAATGGAGGACACGCAGCAGCGAAACGTGCCAATGCGGTGACTGCAGCTGCTCGAACGCTGGCGCTCTCCAGGATCACGCGATTATAAATGAAACGTATGTATCTGGATGGCTGCTTGGAAGTTGGCCCTTCTTGCCCTAGCAAATGCAAAATGCGAACAGCGAGGGAAATATGTTCGCAGTCTTCGATGAACTCGCAGAGATGTGCCAGACCTGCTTCCTTTGCCTCAGCGTTTACTTCCATAACAGCAATTATTGTGTCCGCGATTGCTGCCTTGTATTCAAGGCCTCCCTCGTCTCTTAACATAGCAGACAGAAAATTCATAAGAACCACATGCTTGCGGGGGAACTTCTGACATAAAGCTCTAAAAAAAATTCAAATTAAAAATGAAATCGAATGAAATCCCTTGTAACTCATCGATCAAAAGTAACTCAATTAAAGAGGAACGTGTTCATTGGTTACTAACCTTATGGCTTGAACAACTATGACCTTAAATTCGTCTGAGATTTCGGATACGAAAGTAGCAATTTGTTTCATTAATCGATCTACCGAACTTTCTGCACCGGTTTTTAAAAGAGTGGTGATTGCTAGCGTAGCAATCGACCTGTTAGAATCTGTGATCAAATTTTCTAAGTCCAGGTTACAAGCTGTAACTTCCGCTGGGTGGATCATTGTAACCTTATTCAGTGTTCTAACTGCTGCAAATCTTAAAGCCGGTTTAGGCGATCCGCAAAACAGTTGAAGAACACTAATGGCTGGAGCTATGTCTCTAGAAGCAGCTTTGGTGAGGTTCACCAATCCATGCGCAGCCTCGTACACCACCATTTCCGATTTTTGTCGCAAACAACATTCAAGGAAACTTACTAATTCTTCGCTTCCGTCCAGTATTTTACATGCCATTCTAATTAACATACAAGCAGCATAGGGACTCTTTGGACTGGTTCTCATAAGTTTTGCAACTAACTTAACTACCGCATGTTTATCAGATTTTCGAGCTTGATATAAAACACCCAGAGCATGATACTGAACCATTACATTGTTGGAATTTAATGCTTCTTGGGCTTCGTTTGCCCATCTGCGTGCAACATCTTCAGATATATTGGTCAAATGTAACGAAGAAACCAGGGCTGCGCTAGAAACTGCAGGAGAACGATCTACGATAGCTTGCTTCATATATCGTTCAATAGCTGCTAACATTCCAGCATCCGTGATAGTACATAATGCTCTTATAGCTGCAGCTCTATACAAATCTTCTTTTCCAGTCATATCTTTCGTTAGACTAGAGGTCACTATGATCACATCTTCCGCCAAAGAACTGAGTTCTTTGATACCTAGATACACCAAACGTCTTAGCACAACATCCTTGGATTGAAACAATTTGGTCATAGCAAAAAATGCTTCTGTGGCCTCCATTGTTCCTAACTGTTCTCCTTGATTCAACAGGTACAATAGTTTTGTAAGAATGTGCGCGCATTTTATTGGATTAACTGGTGTATTATTAAAGGTACGTGCTTCCTGGAGAACAGTTGTCTTCCCCAAATTTTGGAAAGGATTCCCCCCACCTAAAGAAAAAAAGATTACGTTAAGTAAAACATGATAAAATCGACCATCTGAATATCACTCGGGTAAGAGATACAGATGGAAAGATTTCAGTTAAGAAATACTACAGTTTCTTCGAACTTTTACGAAAAAGTCTCAACCTGTTCGGTAGGAACTGTCACAAGAACGTGGCTGACCCGTTTAGTTTCAATTACAACTTAAAACTTACATTAATATGAGAGGTAAACCACGTATGTTCATAGTTACCATCTTCCTCCTCTTTCTTATCCCGTTTAAATGTATTCATTTTACAAAACCACAGCCAAGAAACTGAAAAATAGGATACACGTCACCTTAACTCTTTTACATCGCAATGGTTGGAACCATTGCGCACCATTGTGCATATTGTGCATGAGATGAGAACACTGCTGTGTCCACGATGGCGAGATATTGCAACTAAAAATATATATGTATTTTTGACTCCATTACAATTTTCTACATTACCTAACTTCGATAACACGGTATTTAATTGAAAGTTATCCACTTACACCGTGAAGTTATTACAGAAGGGTTATTACATAGTTAGAACGCTCCAAGCTCCAAGCTCCAAACCTGAGACAAAAAAATACATAAGATGTCAGGTCTTTGACACGGCTGTTCGCGTTTGATGGATACCGACCGTACGTGTAATTCAATGGAGTGTTCATACGGCAATTCTCGCAAGTCCCATTTGAATCTAACTTCAAATACAGTGTATTGAACGTGAATCGCGACACTCACAAATCACCATGTAAAAGAGGTCTAANCTCATAAGTTTTGCAACTAACTTAACTACCGCATGTTTATCAGATTTTCGAGCTTGATATAAAACACCCAGAGCATGATACTGAACCATTACATTGTTGGAATTTAATGCTTCTTGGGCTTCGTTTGCCCATCTGCGTGCAACATCTTCAGATATATTGGTCAAATGTAACGAAGAAACCAGGGCTGCGCTAGAAACTGCAGGAGAACGATCTACGATAGCTTGCTTCATATATCGTTCAATAGCTGCTAACATTCCAGCATCCGTGATAGTACATAATGCTCTTATAGCTGCAGCTCTATACAAATCTTCTTTTCCAGTCATATCTTTCGTTAGACTAGAGGTCACTATGATCACATCTTCCGCCAAAGAACTGAGTTCTTTGATACCTAGATACACCAAACGTCTTAGCACAACATCCTTGGATTGAAACAATTTGGTCATAGCAAAAAATGCTTCTGTGGCCTCCATTGTTCCTAACTGTTCTCCTTGATTCAACAGGTACAATAGTTTTGTAAGAATGTGCGCGCATTTTATTGGATTAACTGGTGTATTATTAAAGGTACGTGCTTCCTGGAGAACAGTTGTCTTCCCCAAATTTTGGAAAGGATTCCCCCCACCTAAAGAAAAAAAGATTACGTTAAGTAAAACATGATAAAATCGACCATCTGAATATCACTCGGGTAAGAGATACAGATGGAAAGATTTCAGTTAAGAAATACTACAGTTTCTTCGAACTTTTACGAAAAAGTCTCAACCTGTTCGGTAGGAACTGTCACAAGAACGTGGCTGACCCGTTTAGTTTCAATTACAACTTAAAACTTACATTAATATGAGAGGTAAACCACGTATGTTCATAGTTACCATCTTCCTCCTCTTTCTTATCCCGTTTAAATGTATTCATTTTACAAAACCACAGCCAAGAAACTGAAAAATAGGATACACGTCACCTTAACTCTTTTACATCGCAATGGTTGGAACCATTGCGCACCATTGTGCATATTGTGCATGAGATGAGAACACTGCTGTGTCCACGATGGCGAGATATTGCAACTAAAAATATATATGTATTTTTGACTCCATTACAATTTTCTACATTACCTAACTTCGATAACACGGTATTTAATTGAAAGTTATCCACTTACACCGTGAAGTTATTACAGAAGGGTTATTACATAGTTAGAACGCTCCAAGCTCCAAGCTCCAAACCTGAGACAAAAAAATACATAAGATGTCAGGTCTTTGACACGGCTGTTCGCGTTTGATGGATACCGACCGTACGTGTAATTCAATGGAGTGTTCATACGGCAATTCTCGCAAGTCCCATTTGAATCTAACTTCAAATACAGTGTATTGAACGTGAATCGCGACACTCACAAATCACCATGTAAAAGAGGTCTAAGCGTACAACTAGAATTGAGTTTAAATAAGGTAGAATTTTCTACATTTTATCACAGGTGGCGTAACCAGTTGTTTGGCTGAAAAGAATTAAATAAACTGCCATATTGTATTTGAAGTCGAGCCCCCCTGATAGTATGTGATTACATTATTTCACTATTCCGGTCAATATCGATGCAAACTTCTAACCAACGCTTTCTTGACATTGTTGGTGAAAGTAATTATGGAAATAAAAATAAATGAGGAAGAATTATTGCGTGAAATGAAAAAGAACGAGATTACAATGAATTCGAATAACGAGAAAGTAAGAAAACTAGACGAGGAAAAAGGCTGTGATACTACCTTATCCAGTTCGATGGAAAATAATAGAACTGATTCCTTGAAAATTCCTAATGCGACCAGTACCGATATAATTTTTAAAAAACCGACTGTTACTGGACTCGAACGTTCTCGATTAGAAGGTAAACATTTGAAAACGTGCCCGATTTTTTCGATTGGAAACCCAGAAAGCTTGATTATAGTGGGAAAATCCCAAGAGCACTTTAAGGATCCACCGTTTCCTTACATGGAACTTTCTTGGAGCGGAAAAGCAGAAATAGATTACAAAATGGAAGTATTAAAATCTGGTGTCATTATAGACACAATTTCACTCATGAAACAAAGTTTATGTCATTGGACGCCTACCATCGTGTCACATATCGTTAACTCATCCAACAATTTCTCGGCATCATGCTGTCTTAACAGTACAGATCGATAGAAGATTTCACGAGAGGTTGAAAACTTCTAATAACACGAAATTTCTGAAATATTGTGTAAAACGTGCTGTATGATCTACCAAAGAATTGCTCTTTTTTATGATTATCATTCTATAATTACTTTTAATTGTTTACTTCTACTTTTTATATCGATATACACGAAGTTAGTCGAAGGTATAAACCCATCATTGCAATCTGATAAGCAGAAGTTGCAATGTCACAATTGTTTTTTTAATTGTTTCTTATCGTTCCTATTTTAGATTTAATTGTTTCCAAAATAATGTTAATGGCAGCTATAGGTAAAATCTTTCGGATTTCTGTTCGTTGCATTAGCGTAGCGTCGACGGAATTTAAATAATTCCGTGTCCGAACACAGTTCAACGAATGATGCGCAAAGCTAATTTAATAAATAATAATCGTGTTAAAGGACGTAAGGTATAGGTCAATGCACTATCCTGCACACATTTCACATGATTAAATTACTTACTATTTCGGGTCCGAAAAATTAGTAAATATTCTTCAGACGTTCTAAAGTAAAGGTGATATTTTTCTTAAAAATATCACTGTTACGCAGTAAAAAAAATCCGGAAAGTTCTCGCTTCGTGATTTGTTCAATACTTCGAACGCGGCTCGAGTCCGTCCCGACCATCTGTCAAAGCCTCGTGCTGCGGGCTCTCGAACTTCGCGCCGTCACCTCTCATTGGTCAGTGTTTTCCGTTAATAACTCGTAAACAAAGCCGCAGATTGCATTTTCGCAAAGGAAAAAGTTACTTCAAATGACCTCAGCTACCCCTCATTTTCGGCTGTTAAAATAATTGTGGAACACCTTGTATATCTGTTTATTGAAAATTCCTTGTTTATTGATAAAATTGTCGCCCGTAGAAGGGTGAGAAATTGGTTTGATGAAAAGAGCAATTCTTTGGTAGATCATACAGGACGTCTTATGCATTATTTTAAAATTTTCGTATTTGTAAAATTCTTTATTCTCTAAGACTTATATTACCAAATATCTGTATAATTGTGCATAAACATAAACCCATGTTTTCGTTTCATTTTGTCGGTAACTGTGTCCTCTACCTTTATCTCGTAACTAGAGAGTCTAGCTCCCGATGTACATATGTAACTACATCACGGTGTGCTATGTACAACATATAACACGTATTTTAAAATATAATTCTATGCACGTAACTACCTCCAGAATGATGCATTATAAATGTAGGGAGGTCTTTTATGCTTCCAGCAATATAAAACGATTCGTAGTACCTGAAGACAAAGTGCCATGGAATGTCGAGTTTTTAAAATATAAACCAGTTAAATACACCGCTTCAGTTCTGACTGGTAAACCTTGGGCGGATCCGGAAATTGGAGAAGCTTCATTTAAACCGAAATGGAATTCTCTTGACGGTAAGGAATTATATTTCGGACATATACTCTGTTTTTTTAAGGATTATTAAAGATATTTCAACCTAACCCTAAAATTCTTCCAATTTTAATTTAAATATCTTAAAATTATTTTCATTATTTATTCTGAAATGCTAGAAATATATCTATGAAAAAATTACTCTGAGAATTTGTGAAAATATTTCATAAAGTTTATAGAAAGACTTAAACTACATACTGACAAGAGTGAATTATTTCGGTTAGAGTGTTGAGAAAATTTCAATGATAATTATATTTACAATTTTCATGTTTATATAAAAAAAAATAGATATACCTGTTTTATTTTATAATACTAATTATCATAAATTTTTGGAAAATCTTTTCATTTTAAGTATTTAATAATGCTGTTTGTTGTAATGGTTAGATTAAATTATTAGACATACGCAGCAATTTATATAAACATAACCGTTAGTTTTTATAAATATTATAAGTTCTTATAAGTATACTTACATAAGTATTTTAAGTTCTGTATAATATTAGATATTTTAACGCTTTTCTACAAATAAATTTATTTTTAATAGATCGTATAAACCGTAAGAGTTTCAATGGAGATTATTGTATAGATGAGAATGGTTATCCTTTGAATCCTATCGGCCGTACTGGTATTATTGGTCGCGGTCTTTTAGGGCGATGGGGTCCAAATCATGCCGCAGATCCAATCGTAACACGATGGAAACAAAGTACTTCCAAAGAAATAGAAATAAACAAATATTCGAACAAACCAATTTTACAATTTGTTGCAATACAAAGACGCGATTCTGGAGAATGGGCTATACCTGGTGGTATGGTTGATCCAGGAGAAACAGTATCGATTACTCTTAAAAGAGAATTTATGGAAGAAGCTTTGAACTCTTTAGAAAAAGATGATATAACAAGGAAAGAATTAGAAGAATCCCTGAAAGATTTTTTTGAAAAGGGAGAAGAAATTTACAAAGGATATGTAGATGATCCTAGGAATACTGATAATGCTTGGATGGAAACTATAGCTTCAAATTTCCATGACACTGATTGTAGTATTATTGGTCAAATATCATTAATAGCTGGAGATGATGCACGCAATGTTAAATGGATGGATGTTGATGAAAAACTAAATTTGTACGCTAATCATAGTGAATTTATCAAGAAAACAGTAGAAAAGCACAATGC